TTAAAAGAATCATACCACAATGATATATGTGCACCCATGTTCATAGCAGCACAATTTGTAATAGCTAAAACTTGGAAGCAGTCCAATTGCCCATCAACTGGAGACTGGATAAAGAAAATGTGGGGATTTTTTTTTACAAAATGAAATACTACTGAGCCATAAAGAATGAAGAATTAGAGACATTTATAGCTAAATGGATGCACTTTGAGGTGATACTCTTAAGTGAAATAAATAGGGCACACATTTGTAAATACTGAATAGTTTCTCTAGTGTGAGAAACTGAAAGTGTAAATGAGGACTAAAAGGTATAATGGATAATGTGAAATAGGAACAAAAGGGGCATAGGAAATTGGAGGGGTAGGGGAAAGGAAAGAGGAGAATGGAATTAATATGAGAAAATGAAAAAGTGTACCTAAAATATGCCAATAAAATTAATTTTAAAAAAAGAAAAAAGTGTTTATCCTTTCAACAAGTGGAAGCCAATCAACCTCTAGCATAATCATTAAATAATTATTTCTCACATGTTGGTTCTGTAAATAAAGAAATATATGCATAGGAGCAAATGGATAAAGTCAGTTCTATTTTACACATGCAATGTCAAACATAATTCTACTTTGTATCTGAGAGAGTAAAATCAATTCAACAAATGCATATTTTTCTTCTATCCTTATATTGCTTTTGAAATAAATAATTTTAACTTTAAAGTCTAAAGATACATGAGCTACTCAGAGATGATAACATAGTAGTTTCTCTGTAGGATGACATTTGTTCCTCTTGTTCAGTGAAGAAGCAAGACTAGAGAAACTAATGGGAAAAGTGGAACGAGGGTGAATCAATAAACTTTGAAATTTCTGAAGAATATGACAGATATGAAAAATCTGTCATCTGTCTTGTTTATCCTCTCTTCTCTAACCATTTATTTGCTGGTTGTTGTCTTCTTGAAGTTTCCCATTATCCACAAGACTTTGGAAAAATGGGCAAAGTATTTTCAATGTGGTATAAATGACTTCAAATTCTGACACTGTCACAAACACAAAAAAATCTGAAATCAGTAACTTAGAACTGAGGATAGAAAAAATTACCAGCATATCTCAAAATCTGAAAATCTATTCATACATTTCAGACTTGATCAAGGAGTAGGAGCAATAAAGGAATACCTTTATTCTTGGTATCTATTAAAATATCAATTTTCTCATGATTCCATGGAATTTGCAAGAGGTTACATGATATGAGATATCACAATAGATAAATTGCAAAACCCAATAGGAAAATACAGCTATTTTCCATGAAGGCACATATTAAAGAGGTCTGAGAATATGTGGTAAATGCCACTATCATCACTTTTTCCTATTTTAAAACAGTACATTTTGTCTCAATACAAATATATCATTTTTGTGAACTTGTAATGAGGTTACTACACCATCATCATCATTGTCATTAAATAAATTAAATACTAATAATGTTAATTTCTATTTCAGTTAATATTAATAAATGTAGCTCACATAAGAAAAGTTCTTTGTGGCCTTTAGTAACTCAAATAATGGAAAGAATTTTGGAGACCAGAAATTTGGAGAACTCTTTAGAAAGAAAAAATGGTTAAAACAGTAAAAGTCTTAAATATAAATAAAAGTGTGAAAAACATAATTGATAAATACATATAAGTTTTGGAGAATATATGAGACTAGGTTATCACAAAAATGTCAAATGCATTCAAGCTATTAACAATTCCCTCCATTTTCATTTTAGACAATATCATATCTTTTACTGTTATTACAGTATATGGTCATTATTTTTAGATACAGATTCGTAGCACACATTTTGTCTCCCTTTGCTTTATCTAGATTCAAGTAACATTAATTGATCAAATTCAATATATTAATATTATTTGGTTGAATCCCTAAAATACAAACAAAAGCTCTTGCATAATACTAACTGAAAGAAAATTTACACATAATTCTAACAATGCATCCCAATTTCCCAGGGAGGAAAAATTACCATAAATGAAGTAATTTTCAGAAAAGTATTCATAATTCCTATTTTCCAGCATTCTTCAATATTCTCTGGTATAGGTGCATAAATATAATAAGCAAAAAGAAAACAAAACAAGGCAAAGCCCAGAGTTTTCCACCCCATGATATTCTTTTCCCAAATTCAGTGTGGTAAAAATTTAATGGCACCCCATATATAAAGGGCTAAGTAGGCTAAACAGTAGGACAAAAGTACATAGCAAACTCTCACAAGTAATATGATCACTTTAGTAACACTGACCTAACTTTCAGTTGCAATATTAACAGTGATTGCAATAACTGCTTCTGCAATTGCATTTACCATAAAACTTATTTTATAATATATCTCATCAACTATGCCTTAATAACAAACAACTTAAAATTCTAGCCTCCAGCATTGCCTTCTTTCATCATCTGTGGATATCACCACAGCAAACATTATTATTAGTATCCTCAGAGGAGCACAAGAAGAACCACGAAATCAACTTCTCTGATGGTTATTTTACAATGATCAGTAATAAGAGGTTTAAAAAGAGCCCTGTTATGACATTGAATCAATGTCAAAAATATCGCACAGATCATTAAGAAAATTTAAATCTACTGGGATCAGCAGACCTTTAGACAATAGGAGAGGAAACATTCTTGTTCCAATTCCAGAATTACTTCACTTAGCGCAGAAATATTTGTGCAATGTTTACTTTGCATTAAATTTGAAAGTGTTTAAACCCATATACAGTAGCTATATAACCAGGGGAAAGTATGTCTTCATTAAATAAATATTTATTGCACAATTATGTATACTAAGTTCAGCATTAAGCAAAAGCATTACACAAGTGAGTAAACCTAGAATCCATTCCTTTGTGATATTTCTTCTGTTCTTCTAATTTCCATTTTTGTAAGACTATTTTTTGCTTTTTTTTAATAGAATAGATTCTTAATTTAAGACCCCTCCCAAGATTCTCCACTAAGTTTTAAATGAAAGTTGTTACTTTTACTCTTAATTACTCCATGTTACTCATGTTAATCCATGAATTAATTTCTTATTACAACCTCAATTCACTATCTATATGAACACCTGAATGATAGGTACAAAGGTTTTTGTCCTAAAATACATGAGGCATAAGAATTACATGGATAAAAGAGGATAAGATGACAAGGAGGTTGAAAGTAGTCTAAATTTGAATAAGCCAACATGTTTATAATAGAAAGTGACCCAAAATTTGAAATATTACCCAACTTTTGCATGCTCTTCTTTTTCTGTCTTCTGTTACTTACATGAAAGAATTTGTGACATTTTCAAAGTCCAGGAAATTATAGAGTACAATTATGGACACATACATGAATAAGTTGGCTTGAGACAAAGACAATATTTATGTGCCATACCTAGGAGTTTTGGCTTTTTTCTAAAGTAATTGGTAGGAACACTGGTTATTACAAATAGGTTGGCCTGTTCCTCTTTGCCTGAGGTCACCACAATTGAAACCTGCTTTTTTTGCTGTAAGTATTGAAGACAGTGTCGCAGGCAGAGACAGGTGGTGAGTCCCCACAGTCCCGGGCCTGATTGTCCCGAGGACACAGAAGGTTGTGGAAGGATCAGAGACTGAAAGCATAGAACCAAAGTTGTACTTTTAATCAGAAAGCATGCGAGAGTACAGCTGCCTTCTCTCAGAGAGACAGGCAGTGGTACCCAAAATGGGGCCACTGATGAAGGGGGCTCAAGATGCTGGTTTTATAGTAGTTGTGGGGCCTATCCTGCCTCTGGACTGAGGGTGCCCCTACTTGATTGGTTAATGATTAACTTAGCTCATTACTAGGGACAACTTAGCTCATTACTAGGGTCTTTTCAGGGACCTTTTACAACTTAGGGCCAAGGATTTTGCCTTTTGATCTTGGCAAACCAAGCTTTGCAGGGTACAGCGTGAAGAGGAGGTGCAACCGCAGACTGTCAGCTTTTCACTGGTGGTTAAGCCTGTTCTGCCAGCTGTCTGAACTCCTTCAGTGGGGGAGGTGTCCCTCATCTCTCCCTGCCTACAGGTCTCTATCCCTATAACAGTACCCTTTCACTTTCACAGTGACCTTGGTTTAGACTATACATTATTCTGTTGCTCTATTGACAAAGTTATTTCAAGGTAACTGCATGACTTGCCTCCTCCTGTGGTTAGGCTGATAGGTAAGAGGTATGAGAGACACACATAAACACCCACAGAAGAATTGATAATGCTGAATTTTGTGTGATGGAAACTTGGATAGAGAATGCACTAATCATTTCCTGTTGCTTTAAAAGTAAAAGCAAAATCCAGAAATTTACAAATCAAGCTCCCAGAACCAAGCAAGAATGATCTTTACATGAACTGTAAAGCCTAGCCCAATATTTCAGTAAAGGGATAAATAAAGCTAAAGCCCAACACAAAACAAAGTTCTGAGAGCTTGTGCTAGTAGGAAAACTTGTCAAATCTACTGAATGAGGTGGGTCAGCTCCATGTCTCTCTCTAAGATTGGCATAAGTGACTTGAGCCACCAGGATACCATTCAGGGCTGAGCCAAATAGAAACACAAAATGGGTCAAATTTTTCAAATTTCTTTCATCCCATTTCCTGCTTCCCTCTCCCCTGCTCATCTCTAAAGTTTGGGATTCCCCCCAGGAACGAGAATTCCCAGACCTTCTCTTTATTACAGTGATTCTCTTTAGTACAGTGATTCCATGCTATAGAAGTCACCTCTAATTCTCTCTTTCTAAGCAAAACCTCCCTTTCCAGTATGGGCTGAATGTATCCCCTAAAGTTCATACATTGGACACTTAATCCCCAACACAACAGAGTTGAGAGTTGGTAATTTACAGAGGTAGCAGAGCTCTCCTGAATGAATTGATGCCATTGCCACAGGAATGGGTTCCTGAATAAAGGGTGAATTTGGGCCCTTGCTTTCCCTCTTTCACATGGTGCCTTCTTTACTTCCTCCTGCCCTGGGATGATGCAGCAAGAATATCTTCACCAGATGTCAGCACCTGGATACTATCTTTCCCAGCATTCAGAACCCTGAGCCAAATAAATTTCTGTTCATTATAAATCACTAAGTCTAGTATTCTGTTACAGCACCACAAAAAATCTGAAGCACTCTCTAGAGAAGCTAGTCTGCACTTTTAGAATATTAAAGACAACAGAAACAACAAACATTGACTTAACATGTGCATGTGTCAAACAAACCAGTATGCTCTGATTAATTAGAATCATCACTTCTCACATCTCACATCTTTCTAAATATCAGAAAGTAAGCCTCAAAAACAAATTAATCTGCCTTTGAAATAGGCTACATCTCTGTTTTCAATCTTTGTAGGAGAGGTACATTTCAAAACATGTTTAGAAGTCTGTCTCTCAGTGTAGAGAGCAGAGACATCTGCAAGCACAAGAAAAGGAAATTGAGACACATGCTATTATACATTCCTTGTGAAGTATATTTTCACCTGCTCATGTAAGGCAATCTTAGAAGCATTGTGGCTCTTCCTATCATTTCTCTGTAGCAAAACAAACAAATGATTTTTCTTTTACAGCTTGGATGATATCTAATTAGAATGTGATTTTCAATGAAAATGGATCTAATCAGCCAGGATTATAAACATACATGATTTTGAGCAAATCCAAGACTCTGGTCCACCACAGAACTTAATAGAAAACTATACTGAGGAATAAACAATAAAACTCATTTAATCTATCAAAACTTGATTTCTGCACTCATGTCACCCTTTTTAGAGGATAAGTTTCAAATTAATGGTGTTGGCAGCAATGGGGATTGAACCCAGGACCTTCACAATAAATGATATCCTCAGTCTTTCTTTCTTTCTTTCTTTCTTTCTTTCTTTCTTGCTTGCTTGCTTGCTTGCTTGCTTTCTTGCTTGCTTGCTTGCTTGCTTTCTTGCTTTCTTGCTTTCTTGCTTTCTTTCTTCTTTCTTTCTTTCCAGAGCTTAATCATTTTTTGTTAATTATCATCATTTTTTTCTTTGCTTTATGAGTATGTGCATAGTAGAACTTTCTATTAGATTATGAATTCTGTGAACTCTAGGACACTGTCTTAGTCATCACTTTAACCCTCAGTGGCCTAACATAGTGGAACTTCCATCAAATATTATGAAACTGAAAAAATCCTGGGTAAAGCATCTCTCTCTACTGTAGGAGAATGAAATTTCATATTAAGACTTAATTTCCTTCTCCCCTCTTAAGCCAATATCAGGGCACACAGTAGTGTTAAAGTCTTATCATTAAACCATGTGGACAGAGTCAATAAGTAATCTCTCAAAAATAAGATTGGTTTCTGCCACATTGCATAAGAGTCCTGAAAGCAAGGCTGCCCAACAGGGATGGTTTCAGGCACTCAGAAACATGCTATGGGTCACAAAGAAAATCTGAGCCCTTTTTAGTGAGCTTCTTGACTCTTCTGCGAGCAACCAAAATTTCTCCATAAAGATATACTGTCTTTGTAATACCATCCTCACTGGAGGAAAGATAGCCTCTTTAATAATTGGTGTTGGAAAAACTGGATTTCAACTTGGCAAAGATTAAAACCAGACCCCTATCTTTCAGCATGGACTAAACTAAAATCTAAGTAGTTTAAAGATCTAAATATAAAAACAGAAAAAATAAACTTGTTGGAAGATAAGTTAGATAGAACTCTTGAAGACATTGGCATAGGAAAAGACTATGAAATAATCCTCAGTAGCATGAGAAATAGCACAAAGAATCGACAACTGTGATCTCATCTTTTTAAAAAGCTTCAACCATGCAAGAGAAACCACCAACACAGCCAAGAGACAACCTACACTGTGGGGAAAAATTTTTACCATGTGTACCTCAGACAAAGGTCTACCATCTAGAATATATAAAGAACTCAAAATACTCAAACCCCCCAAATATAAAGACCCAATTCAAAAATGGGCATCTAAAATGAACAGACATTTCTCAAACAAAGAAGTAAAAGCAGCAAATAAATATATGAAAAAATATTCAACATCACTGGTCATTTGAGAGATGCAGATGAAAACAACACTGAGTTTCCACCTCACTCAAGAAAGAATGGCTGCTATCAAGAAATCAACCAATAAGAAATGCTGGTGGGGGTGTAGGAAGAAAAGAACCC